TTTCCGCAGCTATTTTATATCTTACCCTTTGTTTACTTTCATCCACCATCATCCATAAACACGAGGATATTATCTTTCATCTTGGATGAAGGATGATGCACAAATATAATTTCATCCAAATAGTGACACATATCATCCTCTATCATCCCCGTGACTCCGGCTATTTTCGTGCCGCCTCATTATATAACCGATTATTCACCTAACACTAGAAAACGAAGGAAACAACATAGAAGAGTAATTCATAATTTTTTCCAAGCCATTGGAGTTAACTAATCCTTTTCCCACATTATTTCTAGAATGTTCGTTTCGACCCGAGAAATTCATTCTGCGCATTTCTTTTTACAAGCGTAAACACGTTGCCCAAATAATTTGGAATTTGGGATTTTGAAAAATAATTTGGATACCACGTGAAAACATTTGTAAACTTCATTTTATCAACCTAATTCTCAACCCATTGGTACTGTGTGGATACTTAATAAGGTTGTAGTTATACATGTCATCAAAAGTAAAAAGCCTTTAACTCAATTCCAATTTTTCAATTTTTATTGCGTCTGACTCAATTCAATAGTTTTGATGACATGTACACAAAAGCGATCTGGAAAGGATAATAGATTTTTTATAATTCTTTAACAGTTAATCAAAGCCAATTTCAAGTTCAAGATTAAAATATATGCAAAGTGACAAATTTATATTGAGCTATAGTTTTTTGTTATTAGAATCCATGTATGCATTAAAAAATTCTGATCTGATCGCTTAATACTACTTCTCATGTCAAAACGTAAAAAAAAATGTTAAAAGTTACAATACAACTATTTTTGGTGTTGAAAAAATCAATTCAAACATACAGTACATATATTATGGGTCCTTTTCACAATACTGGTGGATTTCAACTGAAAGCAATGAAAATGATATAAAACTTGGTTCCAATACGAATAGGCACGAAAACTGTTACTAAACTCAATAATTATGATTTTATTATTACTATTTTAGAACCTGATATACAAAATTTTCCTGGTCCAAGATATCAAGCAACTTACAGATTAATGAGTAGTGAAATTTCTACAAGTTCTTCAGTTGTCATTACGTCACTATATCAACGAATTTTCAATACAAAAACAAAATTTTCGGGACCACTTGTAAGGGTGGGCAAATTTCAAGGTCATGACCTAACATATGAAGTTAATACAGTGGACCCCTCTATAGTCACCCCTGTACAATTACAACATATAAATCCTCACTTATAAGCACACCTTTCATGAGGACCAATACTTAGTAATACTATATAAAAATCCACACCTTTTATCTTTGGTTTCTATGGTCCCGAGGGTGTGTTTGTGGAGGGGGTCGACTGTAGTAAAATTATCACATGATAAGGTCTTTTGACCATCCCTGCTTGTAATGAGTTTGATCACAAAAATAAACAAACTTGAACTCGAATTTACAGATATAAAGAAGAGTCAAAGCAATATGGAAATTGATGTAAAAAAAAATAAAAAATGAAATATGTTTATTAACTAATGACAAAGAGTCTATGAATGTAAATAATCTTTATTAATAATTTTAATAAAGTTTTGAAGCTTATCGCCAGGTTATCATAGAACAATTATTCAATTGAATTTTTTGTGAAACGACTTAAAATAATAGTTTTCGGGATTGTGATGGGTTATCAACCATCTTTTTATGATGGAGAGGGAAAAAAATTTTATACATTCAGAATTTATTATCGCAGTTTTCAATAATGTAAAAATCTGATTTTATATAATTCGAATACCTTATCAACAAGAACACGTGACTAATCCTCGAATTTCAGCCAGTAACATTTCATATAATTTATAACACGTGATTATTCGAGTGAATATCAATTTTTTATTGGCTGAAATTCGAGGATCAGTCACGTGTTATTGTTGATGAGGTATTCGAATACCTTTCAATTATATAAAATCAGATTTTTACATTATCGCACTAATTTGAAAACCGCGATAATAAAGAATGTATTTTAACGGTTTATGAAAACAGTAAAATTAAAATGATTATCAATGGAAAAAATCCTATAGAAGTTTGGTCTCAAGCTAATAAACCAACATCCGATGCAAATAAACTTTTTGGCATAGTTTGATATAGAGATGTAATCCGTGGATGACCAATCCCGTCAATCCGACGGATTATCCGTGTGCTAAGAGTTACAAAAATTTTTTTTAACTGATTTTTTAAAAAAACTGATTCCGCCGTGATACTGCTTTTTAGTGCTTCTTAAAAACTCCTACCTCCGCAACCTGCTTAGACTTGGCACCTAGTGTATTCAACTAATTTATCTTCTCACTATTTAATTCGAGCTTGGCACCTAGTTTGCTTGACTATAATGGAGAATTGGGAATATTAGAAGCAGATAAATAATTAATATAACATTTAGAATATAATAAATATAGATTGGGTAATAATAGAAGGATCGGAAATATTAGAAGTTAGATTTATAAATTAAATATTTCCTCCTATATTTATTAAAGATAATTAATTTATATTTATAAATAAATATAAACATCCTATATTACATTTATTTTAAGATAATTAATTATATTTATAAATAAATATAATTTTACAAGAGGGTCGGAATATTTATATTTATTTATAAATATAATTAATTATCTAGGATAGAGATGTGATCCGTGGATGACCAATCCGCCAATCCGACGGATTATCCGTGGTAACACGGATTGACGGATCACTTTTTAAAAGTTTAAAAGATCCGGATTAAAAAAAAAAATAATCCGAATAATCCGGATTATATGTTAAATCCGCGGATTGAAAGATTACTCCACGGATTGAAGGATTAATCCGAATTATTTTTTCAATCTGCGGATTACTCCTTCAATCCGCGGATTATTCTTTCAATCCGTCTCTAAAATAAAAAAAAATAAATCTTCCGTTTCACGAATTTATTTAAATCTACCTTAATTTTCCCACGTTCCTTTTTTTTTTTTTTAATTAAAAAAATGGTCGAAGAAGGAGAAAGTTCACTACATTTGAGTGGTACTCAGAAAGAACATGAAGCTGAAAGTAATTTTCCTGATAAACCTTTCGTTTTTATTGAAAAACTTCCTTTTAATAACAGTGAAAATAGTGAAATCGAATCTCTACAATCTGATCAAAGTTACAAAAAACAAATAAATGAAATGGAAGAGGAGGGAGAAACAATATTAAAAGGAGAGGGGGGAAGTGAAAGGGAATTAAAGGTACGAAATTTGGGGGGGAGGGAAAAATTAATATTTTCGCGAGGAGAAATGACGCAATTGGCGATTTCGACATTTTCGCGAGAAGGGGGATGGAATCGGCGATTTCACGAGGAGGGGAACAAAATATAAAAGAAAAAGGGGGAGTAGGCCAAAATATATTAGAAAAAGGGTTAGAGGAAAGAGAAGGAAGTCGAAATATATTAAAAGAGGTGGGAAAAGATCGAAATAGGCAAGAAGAAGGAGAAGAAGAACGAAATCGGCACGAAGGAGACAGACGAAATCAGCGTTTTCACGAGGAGAGACGTAGCCGTCGTTTACTCGGTGAGAGAGAGAAGAGTGAAGAGAAGAGGGGGCAAAATATTCTTGAAAAAGGGGAGGGAAGTCGGAATGTGCAGAATGTGTTAAATCTAGAGGGGGAAGGCCAAAATCAACAAGAGGAAGAAGAGGACGGATGGGATCGGTGTTTTCGACGTTTTTATGATGAGGAGAGGTTAGATAGACAAGAAGAAGAGGATAGGAGACAAAATAGGTGGAAGGAAAGGGTATATGAACAAAATAATGAAGATAATGAAAGTGAAAATGAAGAAAA